ATGATTCATAAGATACTTTGATTTAGGAGTATTCTGATGGACCACTGTACAATACACACATGTGCAATATCTACTGATAGAATGCCAATTAGAGAAAGTTTAATTCTCTAATTTTTTTAAAAATCTTTTTTTTTTTTTTTTGTCTTTTTAAGACAAGGTCTCACTATGTGGCGTAGGCTGGCCTTGAGCTCACTTTGTAGCCCAGGCCTGCTCTTGAACTCACAACAATCCTGCCTCAGCCTCCCAAGTGCTGGGATTACAGGTGTGTGCTGCCACTATTTTATACATATAGTGTATTTAGCTTAGGTGTAAAGCACCTAAGCTAGGGAAGGGCCTGAGATAGTGAGGTGACCAACTGCAGTGGTAAGGGTTACAATAAGAACAGACTGAACTAGGAGTGTGGACAAAGAATGAACTTCCTTCAGCAAATGCCATGCAGCCCACTCCCTACAGAGGTACTGAATTCTGAGGAATTTAAATGCAGTGACCTTCCTCAAGCAGTATGAAATGCAGCCTATTTCCTACTACTACAGTGAGGTACAGCCACTCCCTACTAAGCTCCTGAGTTCTAAGGAAATTAAAATCAAAATAATCAGTTTCTTTTCTGTTCTCTAAAATCCCAATTTCCTTTAAACCCTATATGTCGAAGAACTGGGCTTAGAAGCCTGTGTTCCAGTTGGTCATTTTAAATCTAGAGTCACCTGTAATAGGTGGCCATTAAACAATTCAGCAAATTTCTGGCTACTCTTATGTCTAATAAAAAGCCTCATAACCGAGTGCCGTAGGCAGGCCACTGCCACCACTGCGCCAGAGATGAAATGTCAGACCCCAGCCTTTTCCCATGAGTTAGCACCATTCATGGACTGTGGGGGAAGAGAACAAGAAGTCACCAAGAACAAGCCCTCCCTGCGAACCAGTGTCACGTGCTGCCACTGGGGAGACAGCCAGACCCCAGCCTTTTCCTGTGAGTCGGCACCATTTGCTGACTGCAGGGGCAGAGAACAAGAAGTCAACAGGAAGCAAGCCTTCCCCAGAATCAGCACTATGGGTGGATCACTGCAGGGGACAGGCAGACCCCAGCCCTTTCCCAGGCACCAGCTGAGAAACAACAACAGCCAACACACCCCCACTCCGTAAGCAGCCAGCTGGTCCAGAGAAACACAGGCTGCAATGATGGCTATTGAGGTGAAAAGGGATTTGATGCTTCTGATGTTTGGCGTTTCATTGACTTTGCATGTCTAGAGCTGGTGGTCTGATCAGCTATTCAGAGGATTACGGTACTCAGTGTGGCATCTATGGGGGAATCTTCTGGAGATAGTGGCCATTGTTAATTCCCTATTGTCTTGTTTTGAAGTGCTATATCATTTTCATTGTTTTGTTGGGTTGGCTTTTACTCTGTTTGGTTTGGTTTGGTTATATATGATGGCATGAGCAGCTATTTCAAAGACAGCAAGACATATTATGGCAGCCATTATGGATTTACTATTGCTTGTTTTATTTATTGTTCCTTTATTGCACTCATTCTTTTGTTTTTATTGTTTCTATTCTGTTCAATTTTGTTTGAGTTTTACTATGTCTAAAGGTATCTATAGCTATTTTGAAGACACAAGGGGCATTATAGTAACCTCTGTTAATTTCCTATTGTCTTGAAGTCCTGTCACCTACACTGGTTTGTTTTGATTGGCTTTGTTCTGTTTTGTTTTGCTTGGCTTTTTTCTCTTTAAAATAAAAATTTTTAAAAATTTTTAAAATCTTCATAATTTCCTCCTCTTTGTTCCCAGATGTAACCAATCCATGAACTTAATAAATTTGACATCTAACAGGTTGAGAGTGATTTTTCCCTATAACAATAACAGAATTTCTCATACTAATGCAATTGATACAGACCCAAAGTATATCATTTATTTATTTTTTTTATCGGACCAGGGATCAAACTCATGACCACACACTTGCAAGGCAGGTGCTTATGCCACTGAACTAAATCCCCAGCCTTCAAAGTATATCATTTCTAAGCAAAGGTGGTATTAAACACTGCATTAAATGAGCACACAGTTTGTCAGAATTTCACCAATGAGGAAGACCAGAACTTCTACCTGGGACGTAAAGGTTAAAAGGTAGACTCTTATAGATTTTATCCCGAGATCTACTCCTTGAATTCCTAACACATATTCCTATTCTTAATTCTGAGGCCAAGTAATTATAGCAATGACTTGACCTTGTAGACAGGGGTAAACATCTCATTCTGTAGCTGCCCTCAGACATAACCTAGAGTAGACCAACTTTTTACTCAATGCAAGAAGGTCTTGTCTGGATTTCATGGTGCCTGGTCACACAGTCACCAATCTGGAAAAGGTATTTGAGTGTACAACTGTATCCTATTAATGGGCTACAAGAAGACTCACCATTATATACTAAAAATTCTGTTTCAATTTTAATATCTCACTAGTATACAGAAAACAGGAACAGATTCAACATAGTCCCAAGGTAGAAACCTAGGAGTAAAGCTTGATTCTTCCCATTCTCTCTTCGGTCAAGTCTAGTGGGTCATCAAATGCCAGTCACTTCCACCTCCAAAATGTTTCCAAAACCTGCCACCTTCTCTCTGTCCTCACAGGATGTGGAACTCAGGTTCTTCTTATTTTGCCTGGACTCTGGCAGTGGTAAATGCTACACAGAACAGGGTTTTTGCCTATCTGGCTTCTGCTACCCCCAGCATGAAGAATATTACTTGACATATATAAACAAAAATTCAGCAAAGATTTGATAAACGAATTGCCACAGCCTCCTAAATAGTCTTTCATCTCTTTCCATCTCAATACCACTGTCTTCACAGCTTCCTCTGTAACATGATGTTACTCTGTGGAGGGCAACCACTCTCTTACAAGACAAGAGTTTTAGCAAGACAAATATGGCCTTTCAGGGTCTGTGGCCGGTTTATCTACCTACCAGTGTCATCTCCTCTCACAAACTGCTTGTACAAAAGGCACATTAAAGTTCTCACAGTTCTCTGCCTTCTTAGCCTCTGTGCCCTTGCATCTCTTTGGTCCTCTCCCTGAATGTCTGGCTCCCTTCTTCCCTGGCAGACTTCCACTAGACAGTTCAAATACAGTACCCGTGTAAAGTGTTTTTGCTCCCTCCTGGTACTCAGAGCAGTTTGTATTTCTACCTCCTTGGCACTTGCTGCAATTACTGTTATCCTCTCATGCCTATCTCTTTCCTCTCCCTATGACTCTTAAGAGTGGCACACAACAAGCTCTCAGTGTTTGTTAAAATGAAAAGAAAATGCAGCATAGCGTGAAACACTATTTACTAGCTGTAAAACACTTTCTGCAATGTGACACTCCCCACATGCTAGTTAGTATCATCACCTGTTTTCTACAGTTCTGTGTCATTCATTTCCAGATTCTTGAAGTCAACTTTTAAAATTTATTTTAAAAATCAGAACCGCTTTTTATAAGGCTTCTGAACAGAATTTCATAACACACATCCTACTGCTCCATCAGCCTACACATCAGGTGGAACAATTAATATTTTGTTGTTTTTTGAGACAGGATCTCACTGTGTAGTCCAGGCTGGCCTACAACTCATGATGATCCTCTCACCTTAGTCCTCTGAATGCTAAGATTACAGGTGTGTACTACCATGGATGGCTTGAAAATTTTTAAATAGTACTTTCTAAAAAAAGTTTAGCTCTTTCCTTTTCCCTTGGATTTTGATTTTATTATTTTATAAATTCTAAAAAACTTATGGAACATGCCCAATCTTCAAAAATCAGGAAAACAGGTTTAGGGACAAGTAGGTGTACTTCAATTTAAGAGAGAGAGTGAGTTGATAGTAATAAAAGTCCAGCCAAGAAGTTTGTTGGGGCTAGGGGTTAAATTCCATAGGATATACAGTATAACCTAAAGGTCGGCTGTAAAAAGCACATTGTTTACTTTTATAGTGTACACAATATTAAAAAATTGCTAAAACTGGCACAGTAGAAAAACACTCTGCAGACTTTTATCAATCCCAGTCCTCTTTTACAGACCACACTGTAAGGTCACCTGCCCATTCCTGGCATTGTTGGCCTCGGCCTTTGCTCCCGACTTCTCTCCCAGAGTCAAAGAGCAAGCTGAGTCAAAGAGCAAGCTGACTGTGTGGGTTAACAGTGCAGGCTTGTAAGTTACGCCTAAGACTCTGAGGGTCCTGATGTTAGTATCTTCCTTATTTTCCAAAGGTCTCCACTTTGCAATTCATCCTAAATGCCTTTGAGACACACATTTCATATCACTGTACTCCTGTGGGTGGAGGCCAGGCCAGAAGCTAGGTTTCATTTTCTCAGAGCCTTGTTTACTGCCTCTAGCTTACATATTTCCCAGGGCACAAGCAACTGCCTCGAGGCCCTCAGTCTTATCAAATATTCACCCCCTCCCCATATATATATATATATATATATATATATATACACACACACACACACACACACACACACACAGTATTATGTAACACATACACATATGCACATACACTACATATACATACATAACTACCTATTTCCTCTACACAGCCCCAGTCAAGAAGCATACAGATTCTCCTGAGCTGTCTGGTAACCCCACCCCCCAGGACAGGTGTCACTGCTCTCTACCGTTCCTGGGTCACCCCTGTAGAACAGTGTCTTCCTGTCTGCCAAACACGTACCTGTAACCCCTTCCTCCTTACAACTAGGGACCACTGCATAATAAACGTGAGGGAGGACGTCACCTTCAAACCAACTCGGGGACCCGCGGCCAGGCATACTGGGTCTGTTACCCTTTTGGAGAGCAGGGACCCCGTGGGAAGGCAGCCTGGTCGCCCTTTCCCACCGGGTCAGAATCCGCCGGGCCTGGACCCCTTCCCCGGGCAGCCGTGCCCCACCCCTCGGCACCCGGTCCCTGCGGGCTCTGGGGCAGGAACGGCTTCGCGGACAGAGGGGCGCCCGCCACCCCCTCGCCCAGCCCTTGCCGCCCGACCCGGCTCACCGGCCGCCCGCGATCGGTTTCCCTCCAGGTCACTGCTTCCTGGGCATCGCGTCCCTGGAGGAGAGCTCCGGACGCGGAGGCGACGCCGGCCAGGCACGGCCAGGTGGGGGCGGCGTTGGGGCGGCCGGGCTCGGGCAGCGGGCGTGACGCGCGGCCTCGCGACCCGCGGGCGTCGCTCAGCTGACCGCCGCGCACGCTCGCGCTCCGGCCGCGGAATTTCCCGGGGTTGTCCCGGCCGCGGCCCCGCCCCGCCCCGCCATGCCCCACCCCCGTCCCTCCAGCCACGCCCCTCACACGTCCGACCACGCCCCTTCCCCGCGGGGCCTAGCACCCCCGCCCCGAGGCTCGGCCAGGGTCCTCAGCTCCGCGCATGCAACGGAAGGACGCCGAGGTGCCAGATAGGTGACGTGAAACTGCGAATTAGACCGAGTCGAGCGTGCAGACAGGGTGCTTCCTGCGTCCAGCTCGTGCGGTTCCTAGATGTTCAGGGCCGCAGGGTGTCGCTGCGGTTCGCGGAAAGAGAACGTGCGTCCAGGCGTGCCTAGCAGGCACCTTGGCCTACGTGCCTTACGTGTGGGCTGAGTTAGCGGCGTGCTTTGTTAGCAACCGGATTTTGCTCTTTAGGCCGTGATTAGAAAGAAAGCCTGCAGAGTGGTTCTCGGTCTCGTGATCTCCTGGGCCTGTTAACGCCTGGTGCCCCAAGCAGGTGGGGTTCATGGGCTGGCCTGGATTATACCTGGGAAGCAGGCTTTGCTGTGTTGGAAAGTACTGTATTGCTCTCCCACACCAGAGGAAGAAAGATGCTTCCACTCTAGACAGCAGAGTGAAAGGGCAGAAAGCAACGGGGCTGCCTGGATTTGTGTCACAGCGCGCCAGAAGGCGTCAGCAAGGGTACCGCATGCTACATAGGCCATCGGCTGCCAACGTCAGGTCTCCACGGTCTCTGGCTGAGTCGCCACTCTGCTCTTCATGGAGACTACAGTGCCTGACAAGTAATCACAAATCAGAGCGAGGGCCCTGGAGGTCTGAGGGACCCCGAGGAGGTGTGTGTTCAAGAGGAAATAGGGTGTCACGACGGCGGCGATGAGGGCGCACTTGACTGCGCAATGAAAGGTCGCATGCAGCTCTTACTCCTGGGAATTAGCAGTGCATGGTTAGCAGAGGCTGGAAACAAACGACAAATCCTAATCTCCAAAGGGAAAAAGGGAGACCTCCTGGTATACTGGAAAGACACCAAGTTGTCTAGACCACCTGATACCCTGTGCTTGGTACCCCTTCCCACCCATATTAACACCCAGAGCAAGGCAGAGAGGATCTGGGAACAATACAGGTAAAAGCCAAACTAAGTTTCTCTTTTCTTCTTGTTCCACAGAGAACACAGGTACTTCCATGACCTTATTTACCAAGAAATGTACGGCGCTGCCTCTTTCCCAACCAGTCAGTTCTGCAGGAGGCTTCAGCTGGGAGCCCTCTAGCTCAGTCATGGTACTATCTGGAGGTGGTGGCAGATCCCACATCTTAAGGACTCAGTTGCACAAAGCCGACCCCCACTTCCATTACCAATTGCATACTTCGGGTGGTTTTACTCAGGCGGGCCTGCCTGCTATAAATTAGGCTTTCCAAGGCCTCCTCTTAGGTTTTACTAATTTTCTAGAGCAACCTTCCCACGGTTGGGGTAAATCTCAACCTTTTAATGCTGTCTTAGTTTAACAGTGACCAGACCCCATCCTCAGGCTGCCAAGAGGCTGGCAGCCAGCAGTCAGTTCAGACAAAAAGACATACAACATACAAAAAGACCTTTATGGGGCTGGGGATTTAGCTCAGCGGCATAAGTGCCTGCCTTGCAAGCAGGCAGTCATGAGTTCAATCCCTGCTACCGATAAAAACGAAAAAGACCAAAAAAAAAAAAAAAACCCAGAAAAAGACCTTTATTGTTTTGGAAATGCCAAGGATTTGAGGGATTTGTAAGCCAGGAAAGGGAAACAAAGAAAGACCAAATAGTTATTTCACCATCTCTCAGAGGGCTAGCAAGTCAGTCACCTCCTATGGCCATTCCGACTGGAGTCCTAAGGGTGTGGAGCGGGTAGGTAGACAGAGCTGCCTCTGGCAAGGTGAGCCTGGGAGGTGGGCAGCCACCTGGGAATTGTTATAAAAAATCAATGAATTGTAGAACTGAAATCATTTCTTCAGAGCCAGAGTGAGAACCAGTAAGATTCTTGAGTTTGTTGTGTAATGGCAGGGATAATGCCGAAAAAAAACTGTCACAGCCCCCTGAACACAGGGGAAGATAGATCCTCCCGGAGTCACTGTGAGTTACACGCCACTTGTTACATAAAATAAGTCACTTGTTTCACTCACCAAGCTTAAATTAGTGACTAAAGGAGAGGATAAAAAATAAGTAAAAAGGAGATGAGCAAAATTGTAATTTTTAAAAATGAAAACTGCAGCTTCAAGACAAAAGCCCAGCTTAATTATCATTGTTTTTCTTCTCTGTTCCCAGAATATGATAAACTGAGGCAATTCCCTTTTCCCTGTAGAATGGGTCTGTCATTTCCATTTACTTTCATTCTTTTATCCATAAATTAGGATTTCTCTTGTGAATGGACCATCTTGCCCCAACTATCAGACTAAGACCATAGATGATCAAATTCCACAGATTTCTGTTGCAGGCAGACCAGTTAGCTACAAATACTATAGGCAGTGAGACAGGGCTAGGTTCTCAAAGGAGCCAATGCAGAAGCTCAGATATTTTGCACCTGTGAGGGAGACAGAGACCTTCTGCTGTGAGCCGGGCCTCAAGACAAAAAATCAAACAAATACATCCACATCCTAAGGACTGATATTCTAAATAGTTCCCTGTCAACCTGAGGGAGTCAGGAGTCACCATCTCAACCTCCTAAGGAAAGTCACTGCTCCCTAAGAATGCCCTCTTTCTATGTGACTTGCTTCCTTATTTGTCCCCAATTTAATCAGTTTTACCTGAACTGTTAATCTTACTGGCTAACCATAGCTCTGTCCCACCTTGTGCCCATCTGCCTTGTGAGTTCCCAGTTTTCCCCACCTTGAACCCATCTCACTCCATGATTTTACTCTATAAAAGTCCTTAGAAAAGACAGAGTCCCTGGCAGCCCGCTCAGCACCCCTTCTGTCTGTCTCAGACAGAAACTTTCTCTCAATAAATATATTCTGCTCTTATCCTCCATTCCTAAAATTCATTCTTTGATTTTAGAGAACACAAACTCGTTCTCTACCAGATATAGTAGGTCGGGAGTTTCATTCCTCTATATCATTTCTAGTACTAAGAACACATAAATATTCCATATTCCAAACAGGTATACTGCACTTGTAAGCATGTCCCCACTCCACTCTTGAGTGCTAAAATCTCTAGCTTAATGAATCCCTGCCATCCCTCCTACTGATGCATCCTGACAATTCTTTTTCTGTGCTGAACTTGCAAATTTATTCTATTTGCACTTGGGATACAAGTGTGTCGGTCAGTGCTTCCTAGAGTCATAGATTTAATGCAATGTACAAATATATAAGATGAACAAGATGGGCTTACAGTGGCCGCCCACAGGGTCAGGTGTGGAAGAGTGCAAAGGCCTGTCTGCATGCTGGAGATCCAAAGGACTCAGTTGATGGCCTGGAGCTCTCTTCGTGTCCTGTGTGAATCTATATCAAGAGGCGGAAAGATCTACAATGAAAGCTGCAGGGTCTGAGATGGAGCCTGAAGAATCTGTACTAGAAGCCAGAAGATGACGTCCAAGCCGAAAAAGGCTGGAGCTCCTCAGAAGAAACAGTCGTGAGCTGTCCTTCTTCCTTCCCTTTTATTCCACTCAGGCTGCAAGCCTGGTAGTTGTTGTCACCCACACCCAGTTTCAGTCTTCTGTCTTTGGTAAATTCCTTCAGTCATACCCACGACTATGGCCAATCCATTTTTTGGTTTTGTTTATTTCTGTTTATGCATTTTGTCTGTTTTCTTTCTTTGTCTCTCTCCTTTTTCTGGTGCTGGGGATTCAAACCATGGACTCATGCATGCTAGGCAAGCACATTGAACACTGAACAACATTTTTATCCCTTCTTATTATTTATTTTGGAAACAGGGCCTCTAAGTTGCCCAGACAAGCCTTTGAACTTGCAATCTTCAGCTTCCCAAACAGCCGAGATTACAGGTATGTGCCATAGAATGCTACTATATGTACCAAGCTCATAGTTCTGCAAATGTCAAGAAATAAAGCTATTACCATAAAATGGTCCAATATAGTCTGGAGCCAATTTGGAAAGAACTCTCAAGTATACAGCCGGTACAAGTGGCAAGCAGCTATGTTGATTGGCAATCAGAGGAAGTTGTGCTCAGGGCAAGTCCTTACTGAGAAAAGATAAGGCACAGATAGGAAGAGGTGCCAGGGTGACAGGAAAGTAAAAGCACACATAAGTCAGGCTTTCAGAACAAGCCAGGTGCCTCCCTCCCCCTGAATATCCAGGTGACATTGGCAGGCATGATTGACAGGATTGAGTCATTTTAGAGGTTCTCAACACAGGCGTGTCCCCGGAATTCACTCTCATCCTAATTATATTTACAACATGTGATACATATTTTGGAACCCCTAATGAGCTGGGAGTAGCACAAAGGTGACTGAAGGTCAAACTAGGAGATCAGCACACGTGCTGTCACCTGCAGCATCAGAGCTCCTGGGTTTTTATTTTTACCTCTCTTTGTATTAGAGACAGCTAAGTTAGGTAGAAATATATATGCAGGCAGACAGGACTAGGCCTCCAGGGTCAGTGCAAATGATGAGAACACATTACAAGTGTCAAAGGCCAGACCTCGGGATACAGACAAAATGACTAGGCCTATATACTTTCCCAAGGGATTCACAATAAATTAATTATATTATAATTGATAACATGTGGCCCAATAGAGGCTCGATAGATATCAGTCACCCAGCTGGGTGAATAGGACCTCCTGATCCATCCCTTCCTAAAAAGTCTTTGTTCTTTCCATGTATACTCGTTATGACCTGCTTCCCCACTGGATCTATATTACCTAAGCAGCTTAGGTAGTCTTATTGGTTGATCGTAGTTTTGACTAACATTGTACCCACCTCATGATTTTGCTCTATTAAACTTTTTTGAGGAGTAGGCTCATTGGTAACTCACTTTTGGGTCTCTTCCCGTCTCTCAGGAGCTATCCCTCAATGAATTTTT